TCAAGAGAACGGACGGGGAGACTATCAAATCGAAAGTTTGAACCCACACGCGTTATCTGCACATCGTTCCCCTCTTGTCCTGTTGTCTGCAACTAGGACGGGGCATGCAACACGGCGAAATGTACTGTACTGCACATGGCAACTATTGGAGGGAGCACACAAGCCCGACAGCCAGGAAAATGCACCGGGACTTCCACAACTGGCTGGACAACAATCAAGAATCCAAACAAGCCTTGTCGCACGCACAAACAATTATAAATATACATCAATTGCCACATTTTGGACCACTTCACAACTCAGGAAGAAAGATGATAGAATGGCCAAAAAAGAGAATGTGAGAAAAAAGAACACACCAGCCGCAAGCATTTTGGGCATAACATTCAAACACGCAATCTGTCCTCTGGGCAACCTCCTGAACGAAATCACCAAGTAACTGTTAACGCACCACACGAAGATTTGAGAAACCGCAGCAGCCGCCCGAAAGAGACAAAAGCATTCGGCAGGATGGTTTGACGAAGGTAGCCATCAACCGCTCTGTTTGACAAGTTTTGATGGTATGCAACGGATGGAACAGGTTCGTGGCTCTCCAATTTTTTGTTGTCAATTTCTCTGTTGTGTTAAAGAACGGGCTTCACTAAGCTTTCCTACTCACAAACTGAAGCGGTCACTTTTCCTGCTACGGTCGCTGTGTCCGCTGGTCTCGAGCCTTCACGTCACGGGCGTGAGTCCGGCTGTTCCTGTACATTAACTGCACTGCACTAGCGGTGTTACTGTTCCTGGCAGAATGTTTAACACCCCGCCTTCGGAGTTAGCGAAAGTTCCTCGACTGAGGTGACTCCGACTTTTCCTTGACAAACAGTAAACACGCTGCAGTTCCTTTTCACTACAAAATAAACGCTGTTCCTCTTCGCAAACGTTGCCGTTCACTCGCAATCCTCTCCAAGGTTGCTAGACTGGGCTGTGCCACGGTTTCTGTGTTGCTCTTTCCTCGGCTCTCTGGCCTCACTTCTTCGGCGTTCTAGCCTCACTGAAAACTTTTCTTTCCTTTGCCTTGGTCTTCCTTTTCGGCTTCTTCCTCCTCTTCTTCTTCGCTTTCCTTGTTGACTTCCTTCTGCTGCTCTAGCTGGTCCTTGAGGTACTCTTCAAGCTGCTTTGCCTGCGACTGACACTTTTCCTTTCCTTTGGGGTCCTTGGACGCTGCTTTCCATCCGGTTTCCTTTGATCCTGAATACCAGTACCATTGTGCCTTCTCTTCGTTCCACTTCCACTGGTAGTTCCTGCCTTGGAAACCGTAGACTGCAAACCAGTTTCCTTCAAACTCTCCACGTCCTCTTCCTTTCAAGTAAGAGGCTTCGTTCACTGGTCCTGTGGCGGAAAGTTCCTGGTCGTACTTTCCTTCCTTCTTCTGCTGGTGCTGTGTTACCTTTGGTGGCTCCTTTCCTGCTTCTTTTCCTTTTCCTTTTCCTTCTGGCTTCTCTGGCTCCTTTGTTGGTGTTGTGTCTGGCTCTGTGGGTGCCTGCGACCAGGCTGCCGATCCTCTGCTTTCAAGTTCCTGTGTCAGGCTTGCAATCCTTTCCTTATCCTCCTTGCGTTCCTTCATCATGTCCTCCATCATCTGTTCCAGCTTCTTTATCCTGTCTTCTTCACGTCTAGGTTCCACTTCTCCTGATCCTGACGCTGTTCCTGCTGCTGCTGCCTTCTTCTCTGCTTCCTTCTGGGCAATGTATGCCGACGACTGCTTTTGGTCTTGTTCTCTCTTCTTCCTTGCGTCCTTCTCCTTTCTCTTCTTCTCTTGCTCCTTCCTTTCTTTCTCCTCTTTGGCTGCTGCTGCGGCTGCTTCTTCTTCCTCTGCTTTGGCTTTTGCTTCTTCTTCCTCTGCCTTGGCCTTGGCTTGTTCTTCCTCTGCTTTGGCTTTGGCTGCTGCTTCTTCCTCTTCTCGCCTTCTCTGGGCGGCTGCAGCGGCTGCGGCCTTCACTGCTTCCTTGTCTTTCCTTTCCTGCTCTTCTGCAGCTTCTTCTAAGATCCTCCTGGCTTTGGCGATCTGCTCCTCTGTCGCTTTCCTCTTCTCTGCTGCTGCTTTTGCTTCTTGCTGCTCCTTTGAAATTCTGTCCTGTTCTTCCCAGTATTTGCGATCATCTTCGTCTCGTGGTTGAAATCCTGGTTCCTCTGCCTTTGGCTTTGGCTTTCCTTTTCCTTTGCCTTCCTTCTTTCCTCCTTTCTCCTTTCCTTTTGTTCCTTTCTCGTGCTTGTACTTGTGGTCCTTCTCCACCCAGATCTTTTCTCCTGTGACTCTGTGCTCCCTGTAGATCTCGCCGTTCTCGGAGTACTCTTTCCACTCGCTGCTGTAGTCGTAGGGGTACGGAAAGAGTTGCTTTTACTTCTCCTTCTCCTCAAGCTTCTCTTTGCTCCTGGCGTTGATCTCCTTGATCTTCCTTTTCCTTTCTTCTTCCTGTGCTTCTTCGTCTTCCTCTGCTTTTGCTTCTCCTCGTTCTTCTTCTTCTTGTTCCTTGTGTCCATCGGGGTACTCCCCGGGGTCTCCTCCAACGTAGCTTTGCGTGTAGCCCTCGTTCTCGTTCTCGGCGTAGTCCTCTTGTTCCTGGTCCTGCTCCAGGATCCTGTCGAAGTAGGCTCTGTCTGACCACTCCTCTATGCGTTCCTTTTCCTTCCTTGGCGTGGAGGTAGGTGACGTAGGTCTCGAAGTAGGTCCCAAGCCGTGTCCTGCGCGCCTTAGCTCTGCTTCTTCCTCTCGGTCTCGGGCTTCTCTTTTCCTTTGTTCTTCGTCTGTTTCCTCTGCTGTGTTCTGGTAGTAGATGTCGTTCATCAGCTCCTGGACTTGTTCCTTGAGCTGGTCACACGTCTCAAAGACGTGTGACATCCTTTCCATGGCTTCTGTCCTTTCTCTTTCGTTCTGCTCTGCCATTTCCTGGACCTGAAACTTGACGTCCTGTACCTGTCCAGTAAGCGACTTCACGCAACCAGCCACATGTTCCTGGGCACGACGTAGTTTTCCTGCTTCCTCTGTGTTCTTCCTGATCGACTCTGCGATCTCGTTCCTTTCCGCGCTGGCTTTCCTTAGCTCTGTGGCGGCTTCCTTTAGCGCTTCCAGTTCCTTGAGGAGATTACCAACATAACTACCCGCCCACAAGTTCCCGCCCAAATGCAATAAAATATTGCAAAAAAGGATTATAAAAATCTGAGTCGGAAAACTCTGACATGAGACTGTTCGCACTGACAAGAAGCGAGCAACATGACTGAATGCAATGCGCGGGCTCCACATGTTTTCACGCTGCCGTGCAACGATTGTCGAAAGAGTGCACGAAAGAGGAAGGGAGGAGAGAAGCATAGTCGATGCAATGCTCCGTCATTCACGTGTTGTGCCAACTGCACCCCACGTCCGTAAAAGAACTCTCCCCCTCCAAACAGGGCTGGGTGGGTGGGTACACAAATGAGTTCCCCCCTCCCCTTTTGGACTCCGCAGAGCCGAGCCCAAAGGTTCGGACGAATATTGATTGTCGTCTGTTCCTCCAGCAGGAGGGAACAACAACCGCACATGAAAAAGTTCATGTAAAACAAAACACCGTGTGACATGAAAATCAATCCATAAAAGAGTCGAAACCCGACTCAACAAATGGAAAGCATTTTCGATATTGGCACATGAAAATGTGAGCAAGTTATGTTTCTTAACTTCATTTTCCTTTCCGTTCGCAGCAACTGGTCGTTGCCTTGCGGGGGCAGTCGGTAGGCAAGCCATATATTATGGCCCGGCTTGAAGCTACAGAAACAGCAACCGCTCTCCTGAGACAGCTCAGCGCTGAACCTACGCAAACAGCAAAACTAGTTCAGAGCTCGACTCGCAGCGGACTGCTAAGCAGTCGAACCGTGAAGTACATGCAAAGCAACAAAATGAGAATCACAGTATGGCTACCGGCTACAGCCTAAGGCGTGGCTACGGCTTCTCTCGCTCAGAAAACTGTCGACTTACACAGGCACTGGTCACAAGTGCTTTGCAGGCGATTGCAGGCAGCGGAACTCTGTTGAGAGACGGCGCTTGCTGCAAAGTGCTGAAGGTCACTGGGATGGCGGGTCAAACATAGAACCTGAGGATTAAAGGCGCTCAAGGCAGCAAACGGCTATCGCTACTTGCATTGCACGGCCAGAAACCCCTCACCGAGCAACGAGAGCAAGCTAGGGTTGTATGGCACGAAGACACACTAAGTAACAGTTGGCTTCAATCCAGGGCTTCTGACTTGCCTTGACTGGTTTAGCAGCTGTGCCATCTTTGCTCAAGAGAAGCATTGCTGGCTCACCGGCGGTGGCCATTGCACACTGGTAGTGACCTGAGTGCACGGTGTTGCCCTCGTGCACCACAGTGAAGCACAACTTGTAAGGGACTGGCTCAGTGCAAAGTGAGTCCGAAGTGAACCGAGGCACCAGGATCCTAGCATTAGGGCTTAGGGTAACCGGGGTTTAAAGCTTGACAGCCTCAGTGTCGTTGTGCTTCAGCTGCAGGAGCAAAAACCGTGGTGCTCGCGTAAAGGCCAAAGTAGCCTCTTGGCGGCTGTGCCACGCTTCAATCAGCTCTTGCAGGGAGATCGTTGACTCAGGTATGTTTATAGGGAGCGAGGGCGGGACACTTCCGCGATCTCGGCATTCGATAATGCTTCCATCATTGAGTCTAGCCTCCCATACACCCTGGAATGCGGGAGGCTGCAACCTGTTGAACAAGAAATCGGAGAACTCTGCACAGTCATGTTGTTGAGACAGGTTACTCCAGCCTCTCAGAAGGCCAGCCCAGTTGAGCAGGCCTGGTACGTAGACAGGTTTGCGCGCAGTGCCTGTGTGGAGGGCTTTGAAAGCCGAGGCCTGAGCACCAAAACAATCATCGGCTTTCTCAGCAATCTCACCTGCCCAGAGAAGGCCGGTGAGGGACGCATTCAGATAACAAACGTTGTGTGGGTTACGTAAGTAGACAGGAGTAGGCCTCAGCTTCGGTTCGCGGTCTAGGCATGGCCGCTGGAGTTGCTGCTGTGCGGATTCGTTGCTCTGAGGAGGTTGTACGCCTCGCGCTGAAGAATCTGTGCCAACGGCTGGCGACGAAGTCTCTCCTTGGCAAACCGGGTGCGCATAAGCTGGGTGGCATTGCAATCTGTCAGGAGGGCCATCGTGGAGAAGAGATTTTCTGCCTCCTGGCCCCTGTTGCTCACAAGCATCAGAAACGTGAGGATGTTGGACTCGTAAGTCTCTGCGAGTGGGCGGGTCGCCCTGAATCGATGTATCAGGCTCGAATCTCCGAGCAATTTCAAGCTGTGCGCTACAGCGTCGAGGATCTTCGAGTGGGCCACCGGTGTTTTGCTCGTGTCCACTATGCTCACCTTCTTTTCGCTGTCCCACTTCGCGTAAGTCCAGCATGGGGTCGTGTTCGTCGTCTCCTGCATCCAGCCTGCCTTCATGCAGATCTCCTTGTTCGTCGGCCGTAGCACAGCGATGGCAGCAGATCAAGGAGAACACGCCACAGAAACTGGATCTGTCCCTTCGCTCCACCTTGCTGCTGGCCTACATGACCGAATTCCACGAACGCCTGAGCCACGCTCCGGGTCCGGCTTGGTCTCCATGTAGAAAAGGAAGGCGCTGTCTGCCCGTGTGGCGGCGATGTCGTCCTCCTGTCGCAGACAAAGGCGGGTTAGGATGGCCAGCAGGCGACGGACTTCCTCCCCCGATATCTGGTCGGTGAGCTGGTAGTCCTCTGCGTTCGGGAACCAGTTCTGGCTGTCGGTGTCCTCGCGGATGCGCTTGTCCGGGCGGTAGCCGGTGCCCTTCCCATCTGGCTTCTGCCACTTCGGTCGTCGATCGTCGGGCTTGTGTCGTCGGGGTCGGTCTGTCTCCATTGGCGTCGTCGCGAGTGAGGGCAACTCCTGTCCGAACATCTCCTTGACTAACGCTGCCGGCGTCGTCATGTTGGGACCTGCTCGTGATTAGTTCAGGTCGCGTGCTCAGGCGATGCAAGAGACATGCTTGATAGTAGGCAGTACAAGTATGGGTGTGGAACGCGCCTTTCTGAGCTCCACCTGGCACAAACTTGCAAGCCTTGCAAGGCCCTCGGTATTTGAGCCGATGATGATGCTTGATTTCGGCAAGAAGATCAGAGTGGGATGCCCATAGATCAGCGTGAGTTCTACGCAGGTGTGACTTGAAGCCACCTTTATCAGGCGAACACCACTGTGTGCAAATTGCGCAGTACTGTTTGAGGTTTTCACCCTCGGTCTCGGCAAAAGTAACCCAGTCATCGCGGCAAGCCTGTAAAACTTCAGGTCGTTGAAACATGGGGATATTAGGGGTAGTGCAAGGCTGCGTCGGGGCAGGGTTTTCGAATGATGCCGCTGAAGTCTCAGGCATGTCAGCCAACATAGGCCTCGCAGCGAGCTGCTCAGCAGGCCCGGTGGCTGAAGCAAGAGTCGTAACTGGCTGGGCTTCTTCTTCGGGACCTTCGGGTGCATGAGGTGTAGGCGTGTGTGTTGCAACAGCCGCACCGACGGCATGCAGGACTGTGCATGCAGACAAGATATGGCCTTTGAAGCCACTCCATTTGCGAAAGGCATAACCACAATGCCTGCACGTTGGCATGCCAGCGACGCTATGCTGAGCAATGTCCACCTCATTCCGAGCTGTGCCTAGTTGGAGGTCAGGTCGAACAAAGCTGATTTTATGTGAACGTGCACAGTGTGTGCGCATCGCGTGCTGGCTGTCAAAGGTTCTGTCACAGTGTGGGCATGGGAAAAAGGACTGTGTAGGATGTACTGGTTTTTGGGATGTTTGTGTGGGCACGGGGTTTAGGTAGGATTGGTAGACAGCAGTTTGCCATTCTATGTCATCCGTAATGCCTGGGTAGCTGGGCTTGGTGCGGGTGAGGGTATCCAGTCTTCGTTTGGAGGCGTCTAGAAGGAAAGCGTCAATACCAGTGTACCCAAACTTCTGGAAAATGACTTCGATGGACTCATTGTCCTCCTTCCGGGGGTTGCCTGTGATGCATCGCACATGTTTGGACTCAAGGCTACGAAGTCGGCTGAGGGCCTGGGGTGAAGTACCAACTACGGCCAAGCCATGGCTCATAGTGCTTCGAATGCATGTGCGATACACGCGAAGGCGATGCTGTAAACTGAGGCCTTGCTTCTTGAAAAGGACTCGGCTAAGCCGGGCTACGGCGGCTTTTGCCTGACGAATGCGCAGGTCCGCTGTCCGGGTTTCGAATGCATCAAAAGACATGACGGTGCCTAAGTAGGGGATGGTGTTGGCTAGCGCGACATCAATCGGCTGAAAGGGCGTGCCAAGTCGAATGAACTTTTGGTCGCGGCGCCTGAAAGTACGCGCCTTGACCCACTTCGCGAGGGTGCTGCCGGAGGAGCGGAGAAGGAGTGACGACTTATCGGAATTGACATGCATCCCTGCTTCCTGCAGGGTTGTAAACAAACAGCCTACTCGAACACACATGTGGACCAAGTCTTGCCTACAGTCAAGATCAAAGGTAGCTAGGAAATCGTCTGCGAATGCGGTGACAGCACGTTCAATCCACTGAGTCGGGGACCCAAGACTGGGAAATTGCTCGAGGCGTTTCGCGAGCTGGTGTAGCATGTAATGTGTCACGCACACCCAAAGGGTGGGTGATAATGTACAACCTTGCCTGATGCCGTTACGCAAGTGAATCACTCCAGTGTGTCCTTTATGCGTAACATGATACTGTGTATGATGCAATGCAAGTACCAGCTGCACGGTGTCCTCGCGAATGCCTAAGTGCCTCAACGAGGACGCGAGGTACGAATGGCTCACGTAATCGAACGCCTTGCTCATGTCGATACTTAGCAAGCCTCCTCCTGTGATGGGGGAGCGGGTTTTCCCTGCCTTGCGATCTCGGACCTCGATTCGGGAGGACTGCAGCTTATCACGGACGGCCGCACAAAAGCGTGCCGCACGGCTGATGGCGCTAGCTGTGCTCCGTGCTGGTAAGTATGCAAACTGAGGCGTGCATGCAAGTTTGTCCAAGATTTCAGCTTGGATGCGGGATTTGATGACACGCGCTACGCACTTCCCTAACGGATCCTGCAGCGCTATTGGTCGGAGGTTGGCAGCACAGGTCGGGGGCTTACTGGGTTTCGGGAGTGGCTTTAACCAACAATCCGTCCAAATGCTAGGGATATTCAGCGGCCCTGGGGAAAGGTGGGAATTTATCAACGGAAGTACATGACGGGACAGGGTTGGGGCTAGGCACTTCCAAAGCTCAGGTGGAGCGGATCCCGGCGGGAACGCGCGCCCACCTCGCTGTTTGGATAAAGCAACTGTAAGCTCTTCCTGTGTGAAAGAGTGTTCGTATTGCAGTGCGCAAGCCGGTTGGGGTTCAGCAGCGTCGCGACTGAAAACTCCAGTGTAGTACTGTATGATGGCATCATGTTCAGCCTCGGGCGAGATCAGTTGACCTGCGGGTGATCGGATGTGGATATTCTCACGGGGACCCTTGGGGGAGAGCTTACGGATGTGATAGTACAGTTTATGCATGTCCCCGGCTTGCGCTGCAATTTCGGCTGCTTCGAGCTCAAAAAGTACTCTAGCTTTGCGGTTGGCAAGGCCTTGCTTACGGAGGGTAGTCTGGATTTCTTTAAACCTGGCATGAGCTCGAAGCGTTGCTGAGGTGTTTTGCAGCTGTGTCAGGGCAGGGTTCCCGGCTCGAGCAGTCTTATATTCCTGGTAAGCAGCCCACATTTGCCTGACGGTATGCTTTACTTGAGCGGGCCTGCTGGGGTCAGCACTCCTAGGAATGTCCCCTCGGTCTGGAGCGGACCCTGAAGGAAAAAGGCGCTCACAGTGTCCCAAGAGGACTGCATTAACGTCCTCCGGTGTTGTGGGCCTGGCAGCGCTAAGGGCACAGTCGATATCTAAAGCGAGTTGCTCAAGCACAGGGTCCTTGCACCGGATAGCCTCAAGGAGTCGAGTCCTGGAGAAGGTTTGGGTAGGGGCTGTTCGGGTCGGGGGGGCTGCGAACCGAGTATCTAGGAGCAAGTCTGCAACTATTGCGAAGTGTCTTCCCCCACCTCGCCAAGGTGCGAAGTTGATGGCACGATCCGTGCAGGCTTGCTTAGCCTGCGCATCGGTTTGCGGCAAGGATGCAAAGATGAAATCTATCTGACTCCTCTTCGGGCACTGGCCGTCGAGGCGGTATGTGTAGGCAGCCTTGCTGGGACCCCAAGTGTTGAGGGCACAAAGGTTGGCAGCAATCATGGTCTGGGTAAAATCATTGGAATCCGGATAAACAAAGTCAGAGGCATGCAGCCCTGTGCCGATGTGCTTCGTCTGGGCCTTCAGTGCACAATTGAAGTCGCCACCGATGCATTTGACATTTCGGGCCGGAAGGCCTTGCACAAAAGTGTTGAGCCTTCGCCAGTATGAAAGCCTCTTGTCAAGCCTCTGTTTGGCAGGATCTGCGTCCCAACTCCATTGATAGCAGCACGCTACGTCGACATGACGAGCCTGACGTCCTTGTCCTACGGGGAACCTGACATGGAGGAGACGGCCGGGAACAACAATGCAGTGCTGAAGTGAGCTGGCGGCGGCGACACGGTGGGAAATCAGAACCGCGACTCCTGCCCAGCGATGGCTGGAGTCAGGGGGACTAATTACAGACCATCCTGGTAATTGAAATTCTCTGGGCTCCTTCCCTAAACCAAAATGTGTTTCCTGCAAGAGGAGGAGGTCAAATCGATGACCGTTGTCCTCCAGCCACACTTTAAAGGTATCATAAGATGCGGTGCAAAAGCCTCCAAGGTTGAAAGAGCACACCCTGAGTCGTTGACCTGCAGTCTGCTGGCGGACTGTGTCACGGCGCTGTGCACTCGACTGGCCTGACAATGGTGCTTGACGGCAACCAAGGCTGGCTGCTGTACAAAGCCTGCCTCGATATCTGGTGGTGCCTTCTGCAGAGGCGAGTGCTCTTCGGCAAGCTCGCCTGTATGCACGCTTCCTACTTTGAATTCGTGAAGATGGGAAAGCCCCGCTACCTGGCTTCGCTGGTCCTTCTGTGCTGGTGTTCAGGACCTGGGAGTTAGCTCCCGCAGCACCGGCAGCACGTGCTGCAACCCTCGCATCTGCGGAGCTTGCATGTTGAGATGCAGGCGTGTTCTTGGACGCTCCGCCCAGGGACTTGGGACCCTGGCGGCCCTTCGAGCTAAGACTATCGGCAGGGTTTATGCTGAGTGCTGTGTCTCTTGGTGCAATGGACTGTGATTGCTGCTGTTGTTGTTGTCGCCGTGGTTCCAAACCAGGCGGAGCAAACAGACATGCGTGAAGTGAAAGCTGCATGAAAATGTAAAAGCACGTGAAAAATGCAACCATGCGTGTCACCATGCGAAAACTACGCAGCTACACGTCTCAGAGCACCAACGCCCGTAAAATCTGGGTAGTGATGAGCACCTGCAATCTACCCCGCCCACTCACCTACAAGAAGCTCGGGCCGAGATGCTTCTTAATCTCATTCTGATGGACAAGTCCACCTCACGAGATTACCAACATAACTACCCGCCCACAAGTTCCCGCCCAAATGCAATAAAATATTGCAAAAAAGGATTATAAAAATCTGAGTCGGAAAACTCTGACATGAGACTGTTCGCACTGACAAGAAGCGAGCAACATGACTGAATGCAATGCGCGGGCTCCACATGTTTTCACGCTGCCGTGCAACGATTGTCGAAAGAGTGCACGAAAGAGGAAGGGAGGAGAGAAGCATAGTCGATGCAATGCTCCGTCATTCACGTGTTGTGCCAACTGCACCCCACGTCCGTAAAAGAACTCTCCCCTCTCAACGAGTGACAGTGGCACATCACTTCCAGGGATCCTTCTCGCGCAACCGTTCAGCCTTCTTAAGCTTGGCAGCGGTTTTGGATACCCGCTTCTCTTTCCACTCAGCAATCTCACCGTACAATGCAGAGCCCGCTTGCAAAAGAGGCCTGAGAACCAGACCTTGGTATTCGGCAAATGAAAATCGTAACCTCAGCTTTGGATCGAACTGCTTGAAATCCCCGTTAGTCAGAGAGTCAGCCAGCATGTTCTGAAGGCGTGGTGCCCTTGTGAGCTCGAGCATGCACGACTTCTCAAGGAGCACAGCAGTTAATTCCATCAATACGGCCACCAATGGAAATGAAGTCGTGAGCCAACGCGAGACAATGTGCGAATTGCCCTTATTGTCTGTCCCCGCTGAACAGACTGTCCGCGAAGGGCCCGCTCCCGTAGGAGCGAAGAGCAACACCGCCACCATGGTGGCCAGAAGTTCGAGGGATGCTATGGAACGGTAAGACTCCCCCGCCATAAAGAAGAGAGGAGCATCTTCAGGTTTGATCCGCTCGGCAAACCACCGGCACCGACGAGGATCGTCGGAGTCTGCACATGACCATCCTCCAATATGCATCTCTGGCCCCGATCCAGCCATGCTCAAGTCCCCCGGCGAACTTATGCCAGGCAAATGGGGTTCCCAGTACCTGAAGCAATAAGATGGTCGCCAAGATCTTGATCAGCCCGTCTCCGGACTGGGTAAGCCATATGAGGTCGTCCACATAGCTCAGGAGAACCGTCGGGTCGCCTTGTAGACAGTAGTACAGAAGTCTGCCCAGTCCCGACATGAGTCTGTACCACCAGTAAGAAGCTGAAGCGATGCCGAACGTCCCCACGCAGTTGTAGTATATCTTCTTTGGGTTTGATCCACGACAAGCTTGTCGTGGCCAGTCCCGCTCAGAGAGAAGTAAGCGTGTGGCAAGATTTCCACGGCAGTTTGAAGATCAGCGCCCGTAGGATATCGTTGGGCATCCCGAACACGGATGCAATCGTTGACATGCTCGTCATGCACGATCCTCAGAGAGCCGTCTGGCTTGGGCACCGCCCCAAGCGATGCGACAGATAAGGAATCACCATGTTTCGCCCGGGCCTCCTCCAAGTCGAGCGCGATCATCGCCCCCAGGCTCATCTCCTTGGCGAGCTGCTCGTCAAGCTGGACGGGGTTGTCTCGCGCCCCGGGATAGTTTTCGCGAAGGCCGTCTTCAAGCGGAGTGTCGGCATCGGGGTACTTCCTGTGCTTGCACTTCCGCTCGAAAAGTGCAGGCGTCCGAGGTAGGCGCTCCCCTACCCCGATCGGAACCCCTCTTGCAAAGGACACGGATGAAGAAGCATATTGTCTCCAATCAGGGTCTCCAGCTGCCCTCAAGAGCTCCCCAATGGCCTCGAGGTAGAAAGGCTGTCGGGGAGCCACATGTTCGAGCTCTTTCGTGGAGCCCCAGTCCCTCAGCCGCTGGAAAACAAGCGAGCGCATCTCCACCACCATCGAATCCGGGAAAGGCGAAGACGTGGCCCTCCCCGCGGCCAAGCGACAGATTTCCTTCCTCACGTCGATGTGCTTCTGGAGCATGTGCAGAGCGTCCTCGAAAATCTGCCCGTGCAAGGAAATGTCCGGATGCGTGAGACTTGTTGGCCTGTCCTTTGGCAACCATCGGCCAGGAGATGCCAAGCCATGTCCATCGGAGAAATCAATCCGCTTTCCCACGAGAGTGGCCTTCAGAGGAGGTCCAAAGCCGAGTATGCCCTCACCTAGCTTTGCCTTGGGAACGCCATCGACATCCTCTTCAGAAGTTGAGCCACCCTCCTCCTCGTCGTCCTGGTTGTCGGGTTTGGGTCTCCACCACTCATCGTCCTTCGGCACGGCATCATCGTTGTTGTCCTCCAGGATGCGCTTCACCGCGCGTGGCAAGGATGCAACCCGCGGCTGGGGTGGCAAGTTGAATCCCAGCTCCTCCAGAAACCTCCAGTCGGCCGAAGGAAAGGAAGGATTCACCCGAGGGGTGTATGCCACGAGTACTGTTCTAGTCCCTTCCCAAGCCTGCGTGCAGTGCCAAGCGGTGGGATCGAAGCAAGCATGACAGCCATCATCGAACTCGAGAGTATGTCCCAAGCCTAATGAGGGATTCGAAGGGCACGGTTCCTGACCTCCGCCATCCTGAGTCCAGATGCCCCCGCCCCGAAAGGACGAGAGCCCTGCCACGAGATTTCTCGATCCTCGCTCATTGCCTGTATCTCGATGCGGGGCCGTCTGAAGGTTGCGAAAAATCGCAATGGCAGAGAATGTAAAGCTGGCGTCCAGACCCCGAACGAACCTACACAAAACCCTAGCCACCCCGGGAAACAACCTGGAGTTCCTACGAAGGCCGGCAAGGCTACCGCCCACGGCATAAGCCCCGACAGCAAAAGATTTCGAATCCTGCCAAGTGACTCCATCTCGGGCCAATTCTTCGCCGGGAAGTAAGTCGAAGATCTGAAGTAAAGACTCCTTCGAGACCGCCGAGTGTTGCAAACGCAGTGCCAGAGCTTCAGCCTGGTGGACCACAGCTGTCGAAGTCGCATTCTCAAGAGTGTCTGAAGAACGAGCTTGCCCCTCCCCCAACACCGATTCGGAGGACACTCTTTGCCTGAAGGTGAGAACCGCAATACTGGCCAGCGCTTCACAGAAGCCCGAAGGGTAAGCAGCCGGCCCGGCGAGAAAATGACCATTTTCGTCGGTACCGATGAGAGGGGCATGTGCATGCCCGCATTTGCGAGACAACGGCCCTCGATAGTGCTGCTGAGGGTCGAGTCGCGGCCAACCGGCCACACCAACCGATCGTAGACCGTGCCAGGTTCCAGCTAATCGTGTCGGCCGCCTCTGAGCGGCGCCGAAGGCACAAAGATGAAGGGCCACCGAAGTGGCGCGAGTCTCCTGGAAAACACGAACAGCTTCTTCCCAAGTCCAAATTGAAGCAGGGGTGCCAGCCGCTGTAGCACCCAAAAATTCCGGATGCTCGATCAACCAGGGTACATGCTCATTGGTGGCCAGGGTGGCTAAGGACAATACCCGGCGCACCAAACTCGTTCCAGCCTCTGCTCTGGATTTCCATACACCGGATAGCCAGGGAAAACCTTCCGGCCAGTCCGAGTTCCGCAGAGGCGGTGGTCCTGTGCGATTGACGAACGTGGCCCGGTTGAATGTAGAATATGGCGGGCTCATGAAAAGAAGATTGAATTCATGTCGTCGAACTTGATTGAGCAATCTCAACCAAAAAGAGTCTGAAAGAACATCCGGAGCCGACTCCCCGATATCAACTTCCTGATAGCGGAATGACAGCCCGGCTTTCTCGCAGGCAGCCGCCAGGAATGATTTCAAGTCAGCCCGGCGAGACTCTCCCGCGAATAGATAGAGGAAAGAAATGTCGGATTGTGGAGGCGAATCGAGTCCTTGAGAGACGTTCTCCTCGGTGTCGCCGCCGTCCGAGAGTCAGTTAGATGCTGTAGCCGCCTCCGGACGACGAACTTGCGTGCAAGCATGATAAGGGTGTTTGCCGAGACAACGTTGACATACATGAAGGAAGCGACAGGCGCTGTTCTTGCACCCTTCTTTCCGGTTGAACTTCCAACAAATAGGCTTGCCATCTGGAGTCTTCATGAGCTTGGCAGCCTTCTTGCCAGGGGCCTCTTCGGCTGCCGCAGCAGCCAATGCACGTTTCAGGGCTTTGCCTTTGCCCTTTCCCTTGGACTCGCGCCTCCCGTCCGCCGGAACAGACGGGGGAGGCGGCACGGCCCGAAGCGAGAAAGGGATGACAAGATGTCGATTGAGAAGCTCCATATCATGCATGGCCTTTGTAAAGGCTTCCTCGATAGTGCCCACCTCGCCGTCCCGGATCCAGCGATACAGGGTTTTGCGAGCCTCGAGCTCGAAGCTCAAGACGAGCTCCCAAGTTGGAGTGTGCCCGTCACCAGCCACCAATCCCGCAACTTGTGATCCCAACACATAATCACTGAACCTCCGCAGGACATCCGTGGAGTTTCTAGACAGCCAGGGCCTGAGAGCATGCTTGGTCGCCAAGAAGTCCCAAGCTAGCCCGATGCGCCTGTGGCGCAACCGCAGCTCCTCAGGATTGTTGGGCATGCCAGTAAGAGTCTTCCCAGGCTTTATTTTAAGCACATTGGTAGTAGGATCGATCACCGCCGAGTACGCCTCGAGTTCTGAATCCTCGAGCGACGCCACTTCGGTAAGCAGCTCGGCTACCGGCTGATTGTTCTCGATCTGCTCTAGCTTGGCCGCTAGCAATGACTTGGCAGGAACCTCCTTGTCCTTCAACTTTCCGAGCGATGCTTCAACTGCCAACCGCATGGCATGATGCTCGCTAGGCTGCACAAGTCGCTGCTGAGTCCCCAGCCGCGCTTCAGCTTTGTTTCTCTCCGAAACCTGCAAGTGAAGCCTGGATGCTTCCCAAGCCGCCAATAGGCGTGCAACCACGAGCCGCTCTGCGACCCCCGCTGTAGGATCGATGGGCAGCTCCGCAATCAGTGCAGCTCTCACCCGCTCCCGAGACTCATCTAGCCCCGAGAACAAAGCCACATTGCGGATCCCCAGCTCTCCCAGCCTAGCCTGCCACACAGCCGGAACATCCGCCTGCTCAAGCTGGAACCTGAGATCCGGTCCCAACGTCTCCAAGTGCCCTCTCTGCGCGGCCGTCAGAGCAGCCGGCGCCGCCATGAGATGCAAGGAAAACCCTAAAAAACTAAGGCAGGACAATACTCAATTCAGCAACGCACCCTGGTTGAACCGTCACCGGCGAAACCTTTGTGCTGATTGCCGATCTCACCATGCTGATGCGATCACTCGCGCACGCACCGAAGTTTGCCAGGCCTGACACCCTTCCCTCGCGTCGCAGTACACTGTGCATTCAGGAGCCTAGCTGCGCAATCCTGCGAAGCAACTCCGAAGCGCCCTCACCAGCTCAGTGACACGAAGCTCCAGGCCCGATACCCTATCGGCCAGCCCGAAAAAGGCTCGTGAGATCCCTGTGATCTCTCGCCGAAGATCCTCCCTAGGCACCGGGTCGACCGCAATCAGTCGCCGCTCCAGAACTGCCACCCGCTGCTCTAGCTCCCACACATGGTCAGAAAGCAGCAAGAAAGTATCATCTGTGCTTTCCCTCTCGTGAAGCTCAGCAGACGGCTCTGAAGCAGGCTCCGGCTCCATGAGGCCCTCAAGACGCGTGACGAAGAAACTGATCGTTCCTTTCCCAGCTCGAGATCACAATCCTTTGGCGTACACTTGCAAGTGGATGCATGATCCCTTGACGTACACTTGCAAGCAGCAGTAGCACTCTCAATATGAGCACGATCGACCCTAGGTGTGCACACATTTTGCAGTCCGAGCAATCACGACTCGCTCGAGCTCTCTCCTGAGGTCTGTGCCTCATCGGAGGTGCTGGAGGAGAAGTCCTCCGATCCCGAAGCGTCCGCCTGTGCTGCTTGCTGTCCCTGCTCAGGTTTGAAGCAGTGCTTGCATTGCCAGTCGTAAGAAACGCCCTCCAGCGACTCAAACAATTCACAGTTTGCCACAGACTCAGGCGTGCTGCCGCATCCACCTACACGATGAAGCCGCCGCAGCTTCTTCTTTCCTAGAACTGATACAAAGAACTTGCATGCATCTTTGACCTCAGGAGTACTGGCAGGCATCACAAGATCACCAGGCTTGACGCCGTTCCCGCTGCTTTCAGCGAGATGTTGGGCCCGAAACTCGACCCAGCCCTCCAACGGCCGCAAGAGGTCAAGAGCCCTGTCGCGCACCGAGCTCTCGACACCGGCCCTCTGTAGCGCCTGAAACAAATCATCAAGACCTACCTCCAGAAAGGCGGGGTTGCTGCAAAGGCTCTGAATAACATGTTGCTGCAACGAAGTGACAATGAACCAAGCACTCCGAATGTACTCATCTGAGGCTTCCACGACATGCCAACGTCCCAGATAGGAACGACGCTCGCGATCGATACCCGACCATGATGCAAGTGTGGCAATGAAGTTTCTCTCGGAATGTTCGGTAAAAGCAGCAACAACACTCGGATCCTCGAAAAGCGCAACATCAGTATGACGCACACTCCCAGCCTCGGTCAGCTCCGGCCGCTTTAGCTCCCACAGGAGCTGCTTGGACATCGTTGACATATCCACATAGCTCGCCATGACTGGCAGGCAGGAAGTCAGTCCCTTGGTAGGCCGAGGCACCAGATAATCTCTGGAGAAGGCAAATCCATCAGAAGCCCAGATCTCATATCCGGCAGCCAGCCAATCACTATGCAAAAGCCAGGCACCCTTGCAAACAAAGAACGGCAACCATCTGATGCGTTTACCAGCTCCCGAGGTTTTCGTTCTATCGAAAACTCCTCGTAGTCCTTGTGAAGACATCGTCATCTGCTCCGGTAAAATGCCCTGTAGGTCATTGGCCCTGCTAGATGTCCATAGTTTCAATAGCCGTGCCCACGCATACGCTCGGACGAACTTCTTATGCGCAGTGTTCACAACCACGGCCTCTAAAGACATGACCATGATGAGGGCCAATGCTGGAGCTTGCTTGGTAGGTGGCGCCCCTGCTTCAAGCTCAGCAGTGCGAACCCGAACCAAGTTCCGCACCAGAACATGAGAAGAGATGGAGGCCTCGACCTTGACTCCTCCGACCCTCTCGAAGAAAATCACTGCAGAGAGCACAGACTGTAGCCTAGTCCTGGCACAAGGTTCCTGCGCCAGCTCTTCCACATAATTCATCAAGAGGCCCAGATGCGAGGGGAACACCGTTCCCTCCACAGCAAAAAACCACGCCGAAAACTTGGACCGTTCCCTCACATGCCGTCTGAAGGTGGATGCTCTGAGTGTTCCTGCTGACGCCTCCAAAACAGCCTGGCTATCAAGAGCGTAACCTGCCATTGAGCATACCGGCATACAAGCCCTTTTCAGCTCCTTCGCTAAAGCCCGCCTCCAGCGTCGGAGCTCTGCAGCCTCAGCATCGGCCCTCGCACGATCGTGCTTAGCCAGGGCAAGTTTCTTGGCCAACCTACACGGCCACGATGTAAGAGATCTCTTTGCACCGGCCCTTGTCTGAAGCCATCCAGTGCTTACTTCAAGCTGCTGCTGAGGCCCAGCTGAAATCGATGAGGACGTTTGCGCCAGCTGACCTTGCACAGCTCTAGTCCTCACGACGCGATCTGCAGCCTGTGATACATCAGCACAGACCTTTTCAAGAATCTCGCATGCACTGAACCATTCAGTCGAGCCCATTGTAAGTCCCAGTGATTCCACAAAATCTTTGATGTCTGAATCATCCGAAAACAAGTTCGACAAAATCTCGGGAGAAGGCTGTCGCGACTCCTGATCAAGAGCCTTCTTGACACATTCAGGTAAATCCTGCCACGACAGACTGGGGTCAGCCTCTTGCAGAGGCTCCTCGTCACCCATCGCGCATGACGATCACTCCGACCCATACACAAATGAGTCCCCCCCTCCCCTTTTGGACTCCGCAGAGCCGAGCCCAAAGGTTCGGACGAATATTGATTGTCGTCTGTTCCTCCAGCAGGAGGGAACAACAACCGCACATGAAAAAGTTCATGTAAAACAAAACACCGTGTGACATGAAAATCAATCCATAAAAGAGTCGAAACCCGACTCAACAAATGGAAAGCATTTTCGATATTGGCACATGAAAATGTGAGCAAGTTATGTTTCTTAATCTCATTCTGATGGACAAGTCCACCTCACAACTTCGCTGTTGTTCCTGGCGATGCTCGCGCTCTCCATGGCGTCTGAGGTTCCTTGACCTGTCGCTACTTGCCACACTCTTCCTGGTATTCCTGACCGTTCCGCGAGGTTTCCACAGAATTCCTTGAGCTGTGAAAGCATCTCACAACATGACGTTCCATGCGCTTCTGCACTTCCTACACAACATGTTCCTAGCTCGCATGCACTCATGTCACTGCACATGACGTCCTGCTCACATGCACTTGCAAAACAGAAAACTTGTTCCTGAAACTCTTCCTGAAACTCTTCCTGAAGAAAAGAACTCTCAAGACACTGTTCCTTGCAACTCTGAATCTGAAGACTCTCTGAAGTCACTGGAATTCCTGCAAACAACAAAGCTGCAAAAGACAAAGTTCCTTGGCTTTTCATCATCCTAACCACTGCTTTGGCTTGTGCCTGGGCCTTGTGTTCCTTGAGCTCTTCTCTACCTACTGGTTCGTTCTCACCGGTTTGAAACCCTAACCAGTGCAACAACAGTTTGATTCGCTTCGCTGAAAGGGGCTTGGTTCCTATATCGGCTGTGTTTTCCTTGGTTCCTACAGGGTGAACGCTGATTGTTCCTTGCTTGTGGAGGTCCTGAAGAAAAAGGGTCCTGATCTGTAAGTGCTTGACTCTTCCTACACCTTGTCTGGTAATGATGCCTCTAGCTGCCGAAGAATCCATATGAAGATGTACCTTGCAGTGTTTCCTTGTCAAGAATTCTACTGCTTCCTTTAACAAGATACTGTCACTAGCTGCGCCAGCTCCTGCGTAGTACTCTGCCTCACCACTGCTCAAGCTGACCGACTTTTGGTTCCTAGAAAAGGAGTAGATACACTGTGGCCATCAAGACAAACAATTCCTGAAGATGTTGACCGTCTAGTGTCCTTCTTTCCTGCCCAATCTGAGTCGCTGAAAACTTCCAAAAGATGGTGTTCCTTGGGCTGTGTTCCTGTAAAGTCGTAACCACCACTCCTGACAGATTCATGGAGGTTGCTAAGTCCTCTTGGAGTTTTCCTGTACACCAAGTGGTATCCTTCAGTTCATGCCATGTACTGCGCAAGATGGACTAGGTGTTTCCAAGAACCATGTGTGGGTTCTGACATCTTGGAGGCTAAACCTCTCACGGCAATTTGCGCGTCAGGGCGATCCTGACTGACATACAAGAGTATGCCAACGCATTTCCTGAACGATGCTGCTTGTTCCTGATCCAAGGTTTGGGTCTTGTCGGCTTCCTGAGACTCTTGAATACACGGAGTTGGCTTCGAGGCTTTGCTAGTCAACTTCAGTTCTTCCTTGAGTTTCACTAGATACTTCGGGTCACTAGTGATGTGAAGCTCGTGATTGTGATAGCTGAATTTCCTTTTGAGAAATCTGATGGTTTGGTGTGACTCTCCTACCTCAAGTTCTTGCTCTGTCAAGAAGGGGCCTTCAACCTTCAGTTCGTAGGTTTCTCCTAGCTTTCCTAGCTTGGGCTCTAGGTGCCTGGTTTTCCCTGCGGCTTGAATGTCATCAACATGCACAACCAGTATGCTGTTCCTGTCGCCACGAAACAAAGTGGGGCATGCTATGCACCTATCAAAGTTCTGCTCTTTGAGGGTTCCTGCAAAATGATCACTCCAAAGTAGTGCTGCATCTCGCTGTCCTGGAAGTACTCTAAGCAGTAACAAACCTTCGTTCCTACAAAAAGGGTCCTGGTCGCCAAGCAGATCCACATATTCCTCTGGGAATTGACATGCGCAACGAGTCTTCTGCGGTACCTGTAAAAATGCGTCCTTGACATCTCTCGAGCACAGAGCATGTTCCAGTTGTAGTCCCAAGATAGGGATAAGTCTCACTCGTAGCTGGGCTAAAAGTGTCGTTCCTGACTTCTACACCGCGAAATTCTCTGGCAACTAACCTAGCTCTACGCATCCATCGGCCGTCCCTGAATCTCCAATCGAAGACAAATTTTATAGCAAAGTTAAAAGTCAGCAATATATTTCTCACCTTCAAATATATTCGCGAATCAATTATATTTATCACTCACAGGACCGGCAGAAAATTTCAATCAAATGGAATATCTTCAATAAAAGAATCTTCAATCAAATATCTTCCACGCAGATCGCTCTCTCTTTTTCCATGTGGGGATGACGAAGTCTCCGTCCTTGTGAGTCATTCCAAGATCTTTGTCCCGACAGATCGGGTCACTGAAAGCGGAGAGAACTTTCCCCCCCCGCTCAGAGGTTCAGCCTTAGAGGTTACAGCCTGACAGGGTGACGAAGCTTCGGCTGTGCGCTCTCTGAGAAGTGGACTAATTGCCAGGAGAGGTTTCTGGTTCCTCCTCTTCGTACTCGCTGCTGTCAGTGAAGCCTGTTGGTTGAAACCAACGCCTGAACAGCGCTCGGAAGACCTTGGCAGTCGCGCTGAGGCGACGTTGTCTTCTGGTCCTCAGGTACAAGCTGACGGTGCACCAGATCTCTGGAATTTGTAAGACTCGCATGACTGAAGAAAAAGGTGCGGGTGGGCGGGCTTTCGAAATTTTCTGCCCGGCTCCGACTTGAGCAACGTTCACATGCAGGCACATCACACATGCTCAATGCAGCAAAACGTTTCTGCCTAAACAAACACGTTCCTTGTTTGTTTTCCATGATCGTGATAAAACACTAACTCGTCCCTCGCACGTAAGCTTATCACTCACAGGACCGGCAGAAAATTTCAATCAAATGGAATATCTTCAATAAAAGAATCTTCAATCAAATATCTTCCACGCAGATCGCTCTCTCTTTTTCCATGTGGGGATGACGAAGTCTCCGTCCTTGTGAGTCATTCCAAGATCTTTGTCCCGACAGATCGGGTCACTGAAAGCGGAGAGAACTTTCCCCATCTTTTATAAGATCGACGCTTACCGTGGACCGTACTGCGTCGGGAAAGTCTGGGAGAGCCTCGATCCTAACTCTCGAGGGTTCATCCGCGATGTTCGATTTTGACGGGACTCTCGCGATCCAGGGTACAGTCCCCGTCTTGAGCTCATATGCGGCTTGATGCTTCAGCAAGTCGTTTGCGACTCTGTTAGCGCTTGCTCCAGTCATAAGGCAGGCTTTGGCGCCTTCATTATCACAGTAGCATACGACTCTCATTCCTCTGAGGGCCTCGCCCCAAGCCTTGAACGCCAAGCAGACTGCAGCCAACTCGAGCAAGAAGATGCACTTAGACTCTAGGTCTATTCCCACCTCAGCAAGCTCAGCTGAGCTAGGGAAGTACGAGAAGAACCTCAGGGGCTCTCCAGTGGGTCCGCACAGGACTCCGCCTATTCCCGCGACGTTTCCTTCCTTAGTCGGTTCCAGGGACGCGTCAGTGTATATAAAGACGCAGGGCCTCTGACCCAGGAGAATCGTCCTCGCTGGGGCGAACTGAGCGATGTCAATGTACATCCGAAGTGCTGCGGAGATGCTTCCGTCAATTGCGGTAGAGTTCCGTTCCAAAACGGAGTAGAATACTTTAAGACAGGACTTCGGGAGTCGACCGAAGATTTGCCCTCCGGCGAAACTCATTCGCCCCGCCATGTGCCTGGCCTCGGATCTCGATATTCTTCCCCTGTCGAGAATGTTTGAGAGCTCGCTCACGAGCTCACTGATTCTTGCCTCAGTGTTGCTGATGAGTAGCGATCCCTTGGTGAGATGTCTCAGGTTGACGCTGACTCCTAGAGCGTGTAGTGTCCTACCGAAGACCGTGTTTTTCTCGCCAGAGGTGTCATACACCCATCCAAGGATATCGAAGAGGGACCTTGCAGCCAGGTCCGAGCTCTTCTCCAGGGCGGGCTCCGAAAACAGGCAAAAGTCGTCAAAGAAAACCGTCCACATGAGACTGAGGGCCACGACTCCTAGGGTCCACAGTGCCCTGCTCATCCTGTTGAAGGCGTATACACTCTGAGTGGCCCCGAAGGGCAGGGCCAGCGATGTAAAGACCTTGGGGCAGCCAGACGGGTCCTTGATGACTAGTCCCGCCCTGTCTCTGGAGCTCGCCGACACTGCCATCTGCTTGAAGGCCCACTTAAGATCGAAGCTCTTAGCGGTCAAGTCGCGAGGCCTCTGCGCGGCGTCTCTGGCGTCGCACCACTCAACCACAGCGGAAGCCATGACATCTACGGAATGAAGAGATATCCTTTCCTCCGCGAAGGTGGTAGCGTTTATCAAACTAGCCGACATATCGTCGACGCACCGTACCTTGTCCCTCTGCTTAACCCCAAAGCGATTAGACACGACCGAGGGCGCATCGGCATCATCAGGCTCCATGGGTCCCTTGAGCCATCCCCTCGAAACTTCCGTTATGGTCTTCTCCCACACTTCCTTGGATAGGCCCTCCGCGGCTCCAAGAGCCCTTGAGAGCGCTGCATCCTTGAGGACCGGAGCAAGAGCTTCGAGCTCGCTCTCATGGATCGTGGCCGGGGTGTACCTCTTGGGCAGGTCGTTCGACATCGGAATTTCGCCCGTAAGGTCAACACCTTCTTCCAAGAGTTTGTGTGCTTCAGCATCGTTCAGCTCGTATGCGTTCACCATCTCCTTGAAGAGCAGGATCTTCTTGTCCTTTACTACCGACCTTACTCCCTCGTCCATCGAGTCCTTCAAGGCCTTTTCCTCTTCGTAGAGCTCCGAAGCAACCGACATCCATTTGCGGAAGAAGGACGCTCGCCTTTCAGCGAC